CACCCCGCCAAAACAGGTGATCCAGATTCGATCGGCCCCACAAGTGGCCCAGATGAGGATTCAGGCAGTGAGTGCTGCCCCTGGAAACAACACACTTCAGCGCAAGGGTCTTTCTCTCACGGTGAATAAAAATTTGTTTGCTGTTCTGTGTAAATGCTGGTGCCCTGGAGGCTGATTTAAAATGCACATTTATTTATCACATGCTTGGATGGTATTCTTCACGAAATACTTGGTCATTACAGCACATTGTGCAGGTCAGGCTGTATAGGACAGTGTAGTAAATTATTTGTGGACACCATCCTTTTCTTTTTTGCTGTTAAATGTAAGATATTTGATTGTGTGATGAACTTGATGTTGTTAAAAGAGTTACGAACTTCTAACGTATTGGATTCTTCAATATGTTTACTTTTTTGAACAGAGGGAACAAATGTTGGAGGCTCAGGAAATGTTCAGAACTGCAAACAAAGTGACTCGACCAGAAAAGGCCCTCATTCTTGGATTCATGGCCGGATCTAGGGGTAAGTAGGAAAACAACAAGATGGATTATATGTAATTATCCTGTTGTGGAAGTGAGTAGGTTAACATTTCATTCATCACCCAACAAAAATAATCTTTATGCCTGCCAGTAACTTTGTAATTTTGTTGTTGTTGTTAAATACTTGTGATACAGAAGACGCAGTGCTCATATTTTGACTAACTAACTGTATGGAGAACAGTCCTTGTGAACCAGTGTTAGAGTTTTCCAATTATATGTCTTTATTATGTAACGTAAATACTGTTTTACAGCCCCACACCACTTTATTATGAATCTTTTTAGAACGTCAAGGAATGTTTGTCATTGTGTTGCAGATAACCCATGTCCGCATCTGGGTAACATCGTGACAATAAAACTTAGTGAGGACCATGAGACTGTCCCACAGTCAGATGACACGTTTGTGACTACAACTATCGAGACACACTTTCAGATGAACTACAACACTGGCGAGTGGAAGCGTATCAAGAAAATTCGCAAGATAGAGGACCTCACTGCAGTAGCAGCCTCTTCCACCCATGCATCCACTCCCCTCCCTGCAACATCTGCGGCTGCCACGTAGAATCTTGATGGGTACCTGCATTGTCTCATGTACAGCATTTTTCAGATGACTAGAATATTTAGATGTAGAGACTTGTATGTCAAGAATTTTCCTCTTTTGTTATGCAGACGTACGACAGAAAGATTCCATCTGAAGTGTATTGTCAATTCAAAGCATCCTGGAGGTGTTTGTCTTTGAAATGTCTCACAGTACACTTTTTGGTAAAGTGTTATACTTAGTTCTGTTTGATGCAGGAAAAAGTGGCGTAGCAAAGGAATCAGTTCACAGTGGCTTAAAGTGGGAGTATCTTTTTTGCCCACATCTTTCATGCTAGTTTGCTGGCATAAATATTTCTCAGAATTGTTTGAGTGGTTGTGTTTATACTTGAGCGACTGGGTGAGCCACGAAGTTTCTTAACGGTAGACTGCTGTGATTGCTTGCAGTGCAGATTAAAGTTACGTACCAACTTTTGTATATATAGTTGCCTTGTATTGCGCTTTGTTTGAAGTGCAGGAATTTCCTGTTATGGACACCTTCATCTCGAGTGTTTTGTATCTTCATTTAGCATGTTTTGAATACAACTCATGCCAAATAAGACGCACACCTCAGTTTCAGTAGACAGAAATAAATAAAAGTGTTTCTATGATCAGGATTATTTCGTTGTTCAAAAACCTGTCATAATTTTATTCTTGGTTTGACTAACTTTACTTTATTAACTGCTTGACCATGCTTTTGGTTGTGAACATTCCTACGAACATTATAAATTTCAGTGTATGTTGCTCATAAGGAGAAGCAGCTCATCCTAGTAGCGAACCAATTAAGAGTGTGTATGTATGTATGATCTGAAGCTTTTACGTCGACTAAGTATAACGAATTCATCTCGGGCTACTACCCGTGTTAGGTTTAATGGACGAGGCCGAAGATGGTTCTTGAAACGTTGGTGTTTTCTCCATTAAATCACCTGACACAACTGGTAGACTGAGAAGAATTTATTATATGTATTTGTATGTTTGTTCTGTTTGTATGAGGCCTATATTGTATATCAAGTCTTTCCATTTACAGATGGGCTTGCAGTGCCCATTTAGTTTTGTACTTCCAAACTATCATACTCTTTATCTTTGTTGTTAATCATGTTTTTATTTTGAAAAATAAAATTGTTGCTTTCTTTAAAACAATTAGCGTAACATCAGATCTCATTCCTTTCCTGCTCATTTCCCAAACTAATTCAGTTTGATCATTTTGCTAAAGTCACATTGCTTTGAGAGAACTCCGTAGTATATACCTATTTTTTATGTAGAGTCTACTAGACTACACACGACACACAGAGGACCAAAATCAACATCTTCACTGCTGTGAGAACCTCGAATATTATATGCACCTGAAATCATTATAGCAAAATGTTATGGGGGAAAAGGTGTAGGTAGAAGTTTCGTGGTAAAATGGATTTTTAGAGTAGTATAATGCAAAGATGCAAAATCAAGTGGACTGTTTTAGTGTGTCCCTTGTCACCATGGCTCATTGTGTTCTCATGTTGTGGTGGAGGAGATGGTCCCCATTTGTGGAGGGTGGCAGCAGTTTTGTCAATACCTAGGTTTCTGAAGTGTCCACTTCTCTACTCCAAAATTTGGTGAATAGTTTTATTTGTTGAAGTTTTTCATTGTGCAGTTTTTGCCAGCCTCCTGTCACTTTATCCTTCTGGGTTAAAATTGTTCCCCACAGTGGAAGTAAATAGTCAATTTCACTATTCAGGAAAAAAAGAGCCTTTGATTTGTGATTTAATGTCCATGGCGAATGGTTGTAGATTGAATAGTAGTTGACCATTTTACCGGCTGTATAATTGACGTGTATAATAATAGGCCTGTTAGCCTTCTGTTTTGCAATGGGGCTCCGATTTACATGTTGTGATGATAGATGGCAGTAATGTCAAGTTTGATAATTTCATCTGTGACAAATCAATGAGTCACAGTGCGTTCAGATTAAAAAAATGTTGTGGTGTAACTTTGATGTAATAGTTGACACATGAAGAACGGGAAATTAATACACTGAAATTCGATCATATTATATATATATATAGAGAGACAAGTACAAGCTTTGTTATGTATGTTGTGTTACGCTGAGTTCCCGATTTGGTTTCTGAATATCCAAGTTAGCAGTACAAAGAGTTGTCCTGATCATGGAGGCAGCATATACCCCTGAAATGGTGGTAAACTTGTACCAGACTACACGGCCCTTCAACCAGAAGACAGCCATCTTCTATGAAATAGCGTTTTTAAATAAACTACAGGCAAGTAGGACACATGATATAAGTAATTTAGGGGTAAATGCCAACTTTAAACACCTTGTAGCAGACAAGTCTAACTTAAGTATGTATTTCCTTGTTAGAAACTGCACATTATTAGCTTCCAGATGGCCTCAAGCTGATATCTGTAAGCTCATTTATAGTATGAGGTTTTACAGTTTTCATGACAAAAACCATTTCTTTCAACCTATGGGTTCCTGCCATAAAAATACTACAATTTGTTTGAAAATGTCCTATAAGCTCATCTGTATTTAATTTAAAGCTGAAGTGGGTGGAGTTATGTTATTTCCTACATGTAACTGTTTTGTGCTTACTGGACAGTTATTTTACCTAATTAGATTGGGCATGTTTGTTAGGGTTGCTGACTTACAGATGAATCAACTATTGTTCTGTACCCAGCATAATATTTTGTTGGATGATATCATGGTAAAAACACATTCAAATTTGATGTGAAACCATTTCCTCCATGCCAGCTTAAAGTACTTGTATAGATTAGAGGGTTTAGTAGATGCATTTCTGGTTGTCCAGTCCCTTTTATTAACCATCTTGAATTCTACATAATGATAAATACTGATATCTGTATAAATATTTGTGTATGTACAAAACATATAAACATTACAGCAGTCCAAGAGATTTATAGCACTACACTAACAATTCTCTATATCCAAGGTGCAGATCATCTTGGTGGTAGAACTTTTGTTTTAATATTTATAGGAATTTAAATTGCAACAGCACCTTGCCTGACAGATAATGGACTAGAACAGATGTAGCAATGGTGTGTGTACAAATCTGAAGTATAAATAACTTCTCTGAATGTAAAGTTACATGGACTTTGAACTGTAAGGTAATTTATCGAAATGAAGAATCTGTTTTCATGTCTGTATGCAGATGCAGTTTGTGATTGGTCTGCCTTATATCGGTCTCCATGAACAGACGGCTCTCTGGCTGTCTGGTGCTTCTCGGAATGGCCTTGATCCGTCTGGGGCCGTGTACAGGTTCACTTGATAGTCATGGAGCACTTGGTATTCATACACATCAGTGCCAAGTTGCTGTTGACACAATAAGAGGACATTTTCAGTTGTTTTACATGTGAGTTCGGTAACTTGAGTCTACTGATAGATGGTGTTAGTTTGATATATTATTTTTTGTGAATGTTTGAGTATTTAGGTCAAGAATATTATGAACAACAAGCTGAAATGTGCAAAATAAATAAATACAAAATTTTGACAGAGAAATAATTTTGAACATGATTTCCTGAAACACTGAGCCACAATAGGGTGATCATATATTGGGGGGGGGGGGACTTTCAGGAAATGTATTTTGAAAAGGTGAATTGGTTGAACTGTGGGAGGTTCTGCTGCCAATGCGTTGGTGTTGTGACTCAGATTATTTAGTTTTACAGACATACCATAACGTATCCACACAAACCTGGGTTAGAGGGTTGGTGTTGGTCGTGAAGATGCCAGCAAAACCTTTATTCTTCGCCATCTTGAGCACCTCAGCTTCCATGAAGTGCATAGCCGCAATGTTCTGTTGATAGTTGAGTGATGGGTGGGTTGCCATCATGAAGCTGTGCAACACTTTGCCCTTCCCCTGAGGTAGCTGTTTTTCCCTGAGAATTTCAAGTGGAGTTGCACTTAGGACTAAAGAGTGAAGTCGCCAGCACCTTAGGCATGCCTTATATCATTCCTATCGTTGGCATTTCTAGTGAACAGCTGAAGCCGCAAGGAAGACAATTGTAACTGACTGTTTCAGGTGGCATTATTTCTGAGTGAGATATTTAACTGTGACAGCTAATACTATAAATTCTGAACTTTTGAACACTGAAAACATAAAATCAGTGTTTCAGGTAACTTTTGTAAGACATGTCGTCAAAGCCAACATCTTGGATAAATGAAACTGTCGGTACTGGTACAACTGTCAAGCTTAATGTGTTGAATTAATGTATTTGTTTTCAATAAGATTATGTTATTTATCTTAGAGAGAAACATAGATGATATATGATAATTAGGTTATTAGTTATTTTGTAAACACTGTGGGACCCACAATAAATGTAACTTAGTTTTTAATATTGCAGAATGTTTGCCATATTGTAGCCTAGAAATGGTGGGACTGAAACTCTTTTGTTTTGTGTGTAGTACCTGATAGGACCCTCCAGGAACTCCAAGAAATCAAACACAATCTCCAGCTTGCTGGCAATCTCCACAGAGGGTTCATCATGCGCGTCGAAGTTGAGAGCTACTCCGACTGGTTCCCCAGATGCGTCCTTGATGAGAAAACTGAGGTTTTTCAGGACGAGGGGCTCCCATATCTTGTCAGTAAGGTCCTTGTAGTCCTCTCGATGGATGTCCGGCTTCAGCCACTGCTCCAGATCTGCCTTCTCGTAGAAACTCTCAGTGATCATGCTGCAAACAATGTGAGTAAACATTTTCATTTCTTTTATAAGGTTGTCACTATAATTTTCTCATGGCAGAAGCCAACATTTTTTAACACTGATTAGATTTTGACCTGAGGCATTTCTGTCCACTTCCATCTTAAGATTACCCCTCCCATCTCCTACTGGTTCTTTTGCAAGTTTCCCACTAGAATTCTGTACTGCTTTTTTTTTTTGGTCATACCTTCCTGTGTTTCATTAGTCCATTAACACTGGGTGACCTTTGTGAATCACTCACTTCTGCACTTTGTGTTATCCTCAAATTGACCACTTAACTTTGATTTTAAAGACCTATAATTTTAAAATTATTTATTGTCAGGACTTTTCCCATCGTCTGTTCTTTAAAACCACGACGTTTCGGAGGCTGGTTCTGTCTCCGTCTTCAGGTGAGAGGTACCTACTCTGTTGGGTCCCTTAGATCTAGTCTCTGTCACTGGTCGTCGTGGTTTTGAAGAACAGACAATGGAAAAAGTCCTGACAATGAATAATTTTAAGTGTAAACTGCCGTCGTCAAAACTGTTTAAAATTGACTTGTAATTTTGTCTGAGATCTGGGGTTTTTGTAGTGATGAAAATGTCTCTGGTGGTCCTCTGAGTTGTGACTGACCTATAAGATGGAGGTAAATGTTCCATCAAGACAATGATAGCCATCTGTGTGACTATCAGAGTTTTTTTTTTTTAAATGTAACAGTCTTGTTATGGTCGTTACGTCAAGCACCGTAATGCAAGTGATCAGTCCAGTATGATCTAAAATATAAACAGAGGTGTGGTATTTGTTCTCGTGAGCTGGCACAGTTTCAAAGTGTGGCTTATGCTAAACTATATCTGGGTTGTATGTTGCATTGCTCTTGCCATAAAGAGTAAAAGGTTATTTCGGGCGAAACGCACTTACTGGTTTACAGCGTCCTTGTGTTCGTCTTGCAACATTTGTGCCGTATACCTCTTGTCCTCTTGCTTCTCGGTGACCGTTGCGGCGTCGACATCTGCTCTTCGCATTTGATCCAACACTTGTTGCAGGTCTTTGGCTGAGATGAAGTTGGTAATACCTACAAGTCACAGAGCAAAATTAATTGACTGTCACAATTGTTCTGATCAGGTTTAGAGTTCTCTGAAGCTAGGGAAATGTGACTGACCTATGATATATCCCTTCTGCCTTAGCTTGGTGACAGTGAACACAGAATTAAGTGAGTTGCCACCAAGCTCATAGAAGTTTGCCTCACGGCGCACCTTGGAACGTGCGCTGCCTCCTAGAACTGATGCCACTGTCTCAAACAGAGCATGTGCTGCTTCCAGTTGCTTGGCTGCTATTCCCGTGTAGTCTATCTTTAGGTTGTCTGCTCTGTGTCCTGCAAGTACACAATTTTGTTAGACTTCGATTATTCTTCCTGTGTGTAAAAATGTCGGTTGTTGTGTAAGAAACCAACAGACTTATTAAGTTTTTTTTAACTTTAAAATGCTATGGCGTGGGACTTTAAAACTGAAATACAAGATTCCTGATAGTGTAAGAACTTCTCAGATTCCATCTGGTGACTAGCAAGGGGTCATAAGTTCTGCTTATTCCTGATACGGTTCGACTTCGTTGATAATACGTCTGCGTAGCTCAAGTGACTGTACCATTGGAGGCATTTGTTATGGCTGACAGATTTATCGTGTATTCCCTCAGCCTCCAAATAGAAGGTGGGATAGTCTATGATGTGGGCCATGACACTTTCCTCTCTAGTTTTTTCTAGACCTTCAGTAAATAACGAATTGAGTGGTAAAGTCACAAATAATTACTCAGATTTATATGTAAATATGAAAATTAATATAAAGGCCTGAAAGGCAGTGTGTGTGGTTTGCTTACCGTCATTGCCGGTGTTTTGTTCCTCGTATCTCTGTAACAGTGCCTGTCGGTCTGTCTTGCCATTGACAAGGAGTGGGATGTTGTCCACTACAAACACCTGCAGAAACAATTCTCTCTTACCATGGATTCTAATGCCAGATAGTTCATTCAGTTCCCTGTGGTTACATTGTAAAATGTTTTTTCACTTAAATTACATACGCGTTTTTTTATCCCATCCTGTGGGCACCTTCACATATGAAGTGGACTATTTCATTGTTTCTACCCATCCTATGGGCACCTTCACGTATGAAGTGGACTATTTCATTGTTTCTAGTGGTTAGTGTCCCGGAAGGTGAAAATATGGATTTAATTATCTCCATTTGAATCTAGCCCAGTGGAATTATATTCAGTTCTCATGCTCAAGTCTTGATATCATGACATGTTTTCTGTTTTGCCCAGGAAGATACAGAGATAATCTTTCAAATAGACTGTGTATGCTTCCATTACATCTATTTGAATCTGTTTTTCCAGATTATCTGATTGGTTTAAGCTCTGAAATTTATGCAAGTTACCTGTGGCTGCATGTAAGTTGCAAGGCTTTTGTGGAGCTCAGTCTCCACTTGCTGTGACGTCAGGCAGGCACCAGGATGTGTCGTCACATAGGCCAGCAGTGCCTGCAACAAGGGTGTGACTGAATATCTGTTCATTGCACCTGTACGTGACCACCGAGACTCGTAATTAAGTTAATTACCTGCTCGGTCCCTCCCGGCTCGTAGCACAACACGACACTCTTGTCAATGCCAGGCACTGCTGCCACGGCACGCTCCACCTCGGACAGGTCGACTCGATGACCCCTGACTTTCACCTGGGAGTCTGTGCGTCCCTCGTACACGAGTGAGCCCTTTACAAGGCGGGCGAAATCCCCTGTGCGGTAAAGACGAGAGTGTTCTGCAACGGAAACAAGAGTGTTTGAAAACACATTTCTGACCTTAGACATTTGAGGTAACAGTAGGATGGAGAAAATTCTGCTAGACGATAAGTCGCAGGTAACATGAGTGCAGTATGTTGCGCGCATGGTAGTACCACAGATTGTAGCAGCAAACTAAATCTAAATATGTTTTAAGGTTTTCAGTTAAATTTTATTTGGACAAACATTATAGCCCATAAAAAAGTTTGCTAAGGTCTCTAAACATGAAATGTTGACAATTGTTTTATCAGGATGTTGTGGAAAGTGACGTGTATCATCGGTTCCAATGCATTTGCCTCTTACTGACACACCACTCACCAGGGTCAACGGTTAGTGGGTTGGTTAGGAAGCGATCAGGGTCCCGACCCCTCACGTAGCCCTGGGTAAGGTTGAAGCCAGACACGTACAGTTCGCCTTTTTCACCTGACACCACAGGATGGTGATTCTCGTCCAGCAGGTAGATGGCAGTGTTGTAAACGGGACGACCTGCAAACATGAACTGAGGATTATGAATTTAGTTCACAGATATAATACATAGAACGAACATTTGGGATTGCACTGACCTATGGGCACCTTGGCACTCTCGTTGACGTCGGTGGCAGATCGCATCACGTGGTATGTGACATCGCCCATTACCTCTGTGCTCCCGTAGAAGTTGCAGAGTACATGGTCACCAGAATCGAAGTGGGCAAAGAAGTCGCAGGCAAGCTGGGCAGGGAGTGGCTCCCCACTGCATACCCATGTCGTGAGGTGGTTCAGGAGTCTCTTGTTCTTGGCTTCAAATCCCAACACTAGCAGCAGTGAGCGCAGGAGTGATGGCACAAGGACCAACCGTTGCACCTGTAATACTATAGTGACATGAAGATACACGACTTATTGCTTAGTAATAGTCGGTCAGGACATGGCGTGATCGGCAAATTGGTCCAAACCTTGTGTTCCTCGAGGACATGTAGGAGTCGCTCAGGATCCTTTGTGACATCACGGGGCACCACGAGTATGTTGCGGCCCTGCAGCAAGGGCCCCCACAACTCCCCGACCGAATCCACAAATGTAAGAGCAGTCTTGAAGACGCAGACATGCTCCTGAGGACCATATGGGAATGTACACCACTGCCACAACAGTCTGTTGAGCACCACCTGGTGTGGTAGCCGCACTCCTGTGGAGGATAAACTTCGCTTAGTTTGTCGTACCCCTTGGGGTCTATTATACCGAATTAAGTACGAGGAGGGAGAAATAGCGTGAAGATGGGAGCAGAACCTGCTAGATTTGAGGGTGAACTGTGTTTCTTCATAACAATTTTGTTTCAAGAAATGCACCTTTCCATTTCATAGATATTTCCAGAAGGAGATGAAGTTTGAACTTGTAAACCACCAATTTTTATGTTTTTATCGACGCGCAATCAGTCATAACATCAGGGTGCATTTTACCCAAGCACTTATCTTCCACAACCTGGTATCACAATTTGAACTTACGTTGAAGTTGAGTTTTCATCTTTGTTCCGTAGTGGTAGGTGAGCAGTTCTGATATAATTTGATTACACATGAACGTTACGACTTGTGACTGTCATAAGTAAAAAAGATGGACACAGGTGGAGTTACTTGCCTTTAGGAATGCCTGTGCTACCAGAAGTGTATAGCACGACAGCAAGTGATGTGTTCTTGTCAGTCATTGTCTCAGTGTCGGGCACTGGCTCCGGCGAAAGATTTGCAGCCAGCTGGTGCAACTCCTCGTACTGGGTAATGTTCCTGAATGATCCGAACAATTCCGGTTCATCTGAAACAATGTGATACTTAGAGCAAGTGAAGGTAAAGGTCCTGGGGTTGCAACTGGAAGGAGGAAAACGTGGATTGAAGGCTTTGGGGAAGAAGAACTTACCCTTATCGACCACAACGAACATGGGTTGTGCCTCGTTCAGGATGTGGCTGACCCTGGAAGAGGGGAAGTTGGAGTCGAGTGGTAGATATGCCGCCCCTATTTTCCAGACAGCCAGCAATGTTACCACCAGTCGGTCGCTGGGTTCCATGCACACGGCCACCAAGAAGTCGCCGTCCTGATTTGCCCGCACGCCCACGCTTGTGGCATAACGGAGCATCGACCTCGCCAGTTTGTTTGCAGTAGCGTCCAGGGTCTCGAAACTGAGGGTTCTGCTATGGAAGGTCAGGGCCTTCAGCTTCCCGAAATGGCAAACTGCCCGCTCGAAGAGACGATGCAAGAGGTGGGGCCCATTGCCGAGGGAGCGCACCTCTCCCCGGAGAATGGACAGCTCGGGAATGGAACCCATGACCATTCACGGACCTGAAACAGTATGACGTCACTGTCACAGTTGCGTGGCGACTGACATCTTGCACTGCGAAATTAGTGCACGTGTTCTGCCGCCGATAAACTTAGGCAGAAACTTATGTCTAGAGCGGCCAACCTCAGTTTCCGTCTCCCCATCCTGCGATTGTCTGCGTCAGTGGTATTCAACCTTTTTTGCTCGCGTACCCCCAGATATAATTTCTCTTCAACTTTGTACCCCCAAAGGCGTATAATTCAAGTTATACATCTAAAATAAATTTCATTACTGATTATTCAGTGTTTATCATAAAATATATTTTTTTTAAATTTCACGTACCCCCTAAGATGTCTTAGCGTACCCCCAGGGGTACGCGTACCCCAGGTTGAATACCACTGGTCTGCGTGAACACGAGACGCACTTGCGTGGCGGTTTCATGCTGTTAATTTCTGTAAAAGAATCGGTTTTCTGCGTCACGCCATTTCCACGGATTTAATTTGTAGACAGACAAAGAATTTGGTTCCGATACGTGATGCCATGAGATACTTATCGAACTGACAGATTTAATTATAAAATGCTGTTGGGGCGTTTCCCCCCTCGTAATTTAACAGTATAAATCAACTCTGACGTTTAAGTAAAGCCTTCAGACCCGAAGATGGAGGCAATATGTTTCTCCGAAACGATTCTGTTAACGCCTACAAGTCTACGCGACGTTACAACCCAGAGACCGGGCGGAGCAGGTGCTTTGGTAGGTTCCCAAGGATTTCCTTGTGCCCCTTGGAGATTTGGCAATCCTGCACATTCAGGATGTGGCGTTACGGGGGGGATAACGAGTCTCATCCGCTGGGTCCAATAATGTTTACGACAGTAACAATACTCGTGATGTAATTTGACGTTCCATAGGTCCGTGAAAGCGTGGAACGACTTCACGCCAAGACCTCTCTGTTCCTCTCATGTTCGGTGTGCTCCTTCTGGGCAGCTTTGTATAGTTTGTAAACACACGTCAAGGACGATGCCCCCTGGCTTGTGTATTCTCTCACCTGTACACCTCTCTCTCTCTCTGAGGAGTCATTACATAAAGCCTTGCGTTCCTGTTCTCGAATCGCGTAAATTTTAAGTTTTTAGATGCTATTAAAGAAATGGTACTTGAATGTCTGTGTTCCGATTTGTGGTTTTATACGCTGACGTTCGCAAATACGAAGACTATATTAATCCAGTAATCAGCCGTTACTTTCCAACGGGAATTGTGCTCACTTGCTTTAGTTTCGAATCAAACTCGCTGAACGTCGTGGTCGAGTGGTTAGCATTCCGACTATCCTGACTGAGGTTTTTTCATGGTTTTACTCAGCCCCTCCACACAAAAAAATGCCCGGATGTTATGTCTGTCTTTTTGAGCTGCAACGCTAGATGATACAGTGTTGTTAAATAAACCATGGTCAGACTTCACGCATCGAAGTGTGGAGTCTGTACTAAAAGCTTTAGTGAACTTGATGTAAAGTTTTTTTAAAAGGCGACTTGCTGTGAGAAAAGTAAGTTTCAAGATGGATGTCTTCTGGGTTGTAACGCCGTGTAGTATGGTGGAAGTTTACCGACGTTTGAGAGGTCCTTGCTGCCTTCATCTTAGGGGCGATTACATGATTGAGGCAGCATGGTCTTCTAAAACGTCGGTAAACTTCTTCAAACGTTCCAGAAGATATATATATCTTCATTCTCGTCTCCGTGAGGACCACAAGTCTTGCAATCTGACTGACATACTTTCCGGTTGGACTGCATTGTCCTTGTTTCTTCCCAGTTTCACCTTAATGTGCAGCCCGCTGTGAAAATCCTTCTTATGTAACTTGCCCGTTCACTGTGTCTCTGCCCTCAAACATTCGGCGAGGCCAAATAAAAACTCGTAGTAATATCGTAACATATGTTTCCGTTTTTGACTGGGCGAAATCTACCGCAGTCTCTCGTTACAGTTAGAGAAGTTTTGTTTTTATATGGACCCACCCAGCACTCGATTTCTCTTCGTCACGTTCGCGATGTGATAAATTCCCCGCAGAGGTTTTTAACCCCGTCTTCATATATTCGCGTGATTCTAACCCACGTCCTCGAAGCCTGATTTGCTAACGCGAGTTTTGATAAGTTTTTAAATTCGAACCCTACCTGCTCATCGATGCCATCACCGAAGCGTGAAACCGATCCAAATTTCATCCACACACACACACACACACCTTCGGCCCCTGAACATCATCTTAATGTTATCCGCCGATTTCCCGTGTCTTCCAAGATTTTTCCCTCCAAAACGCATATTTCGTCTTCCGCATTTGAGCTGTGTTCCCACCCCATCGAAGCCTCCCAACATTTGTCGGCGTCACAACCCAGTAGACCAACATTTGTCGGGCAGGGAACAGGGCCGTCCCGTGATTTCGCGTCGTGTTCTTCCGTCAGAGGTACCAAGTTTCACACTCTTACGAGACAGCTGTTTGTTGTAACTGTGTCTGAGGTTTGGCCACTCCTCCTCGTCCCCCACAGCACCCCGTTCTACTCCCGGATCGTGTCACCAACTTTCGTGTACTCACCAGTTTGACTCGCGACAAGTGATTTTACTCCGTTCTCGGATGCTGGTTATATTGCGTTCTGCGAGATGGTGGGGCAGAGGACGAGGAGGAGGGGGGGGCAGGGAACAGGGCCGTCCCGTGATTCCCTGCGGCCTTCCGGGGGGCTCTCCCCTTTGCCTGGGCCCAGCCCCGAGGTTGATGGTTCATGAGCTGTACCACCAATTCCTCAAAATATTCAGGCGTCTGATTCTGCTGTCTACCCTCGCGTGTCTGAACAAGGTGCAAGGGGTACCGTAATGTTTTTGGGGGTGTTTGCACAGTGTACGGATCGGCGATGCGTATTTTCGAAGGAGTTGTTCACTTCGCTTGTTCGACGTTATCTTGAAACCTGAGTCACTTCATGTTAATGCGCATAATGCCTTCTTGTAATGCCTTTTCGAAGAATTGTTGTTTTCTTGCAACCTGCAGAAGGTAGCTCTCATCTGTTGTGACACTCCTCATTGGAATTCCCCTCCCCTCCTCTGTTTCAGATGTGACCAACCTATGAATTAACTTCGTAGTGATAATAATACTTTCGTTGATTTTAATTATTATTTTATTTTGTATGGATGTAAAACTTTGGTCCCATACAAGAGATCAAGAACACAAATTGAGGGTATTTGAGCACAAACAGAAGCTAATTGAGCCCTCAGGTAGTCAAGAAATTCCCTGGCTTTTCACCCTGAGGTATATTACGTGTTCCCCTAAGATTAATTTTAATATTATCATCCCTTCTACCCCTAGGTCATCTGAGTCGTCTCTTCTGGCTTCAAAATCAAAATTCTGAATGCATTTGTCATCTCCCCCATGCGCGCTACATGCCAGACCCATCTCATCCTCGATTTGTTATTCACGTGGTAAAGAGTGGAAATTTTGGAACAGTTTTATCCACGTTCTCGTCTCTTCTGCCCGGTCAGTGGCGCCTATCAGTAGATGCCCTTAAAGGGACAATCAAGAGCCGATCAGCGCTGCGTGAGGTGGCAAAGGATGTCTGTGGTTAAAGGGTTTTTTCCCAGTGACGTCGCCAAGACTTCTGTCTCCTGCGCTGTTGGTAAACGCATTTGGTGTTGAAACTTTGTAACAGACACAAAGTGATTAGTGTGAACTACTTTGATAGAGGGCCGGTTTCAGGAAGTTGATAACGGTGCTCGACGCCCGTCAGCGTATGATGGTGAACAATAAATGCAAGACGAATATTAATCATTTAATCCCCAGCGATAACTGTATGTGCCACCTGGTTGTGCATGTTGCGCACAGAGTGTATTTATTTGTTTTCTCAGAGTAAACAGCGATTATTTCCCTAAACTGCGTTAACCAGTCGATCTATGTAATGGTGAAGCGTGGTGTTTTCTTCGCGGTACGTACTGAATCTTTAAATGTTATTTACATGCCTACGCACTGTATCTATGAGTTTCGCGTGATTCTCCCTGTAAACAGCGATTATTTCTTTAAACAGCGTTAACCAGTCGATCTATGTAATGGTGAAGCGTGGGGTTTTCTTCGCGGTACGGACTGAATCTTTAAATATTATTTACATGCCTACGCACTGTATCTATGAGTTTCGCGTGATTCTCCCTGTAAACAGCGATTATTTCTTTAAACAGCGTTAACCAGTCGATCTATGTAATGGTGAAGCGTGGGGTTTTCTTCGCGGTACGGACTGAATCTTTAAATATTATTTACATGCCTACGCACTGTATCTATGAGTTTCGCGTGATTCTCCCTGTAAACAGCGATTATTTCTTTAAACAGCGTTAACCAGTCGATCTTTGTAATGGTGAAGTGTGGTGTTTTCTTCGTGGTACGGACTCAGTTCTTAAATGTTGCTTAGTTAAGCTTTGTGCTTCAAAGGTTTAGGCAGATAATGCTGACGTGGATAGAAACAAGTTGTGTTATTCTGCGTATTTGAAGAGGCTCACAAAAGAATTAATGGCAGACTGTGGTTGCGATTGTGATTAACGTCTCGAGTTTACCAACTTTGGGAATTTCTTGCACAGGAGAGTCGTGACTCATGCCGTTACGCAAAGGACAGGACGATTAAATATAACTGATGTCCGTAGGAAATGACAGGAGGTCTCAGTGAACTTTGAGGTTTATCACGGAAGCGAAATTGTTAATTGTAGGTACATATCGACGTTTCGGAGGAACATGCTGCTTTCATTTTCAGCCTTCCGAGTCTTGACGGCGTTGCAGATCAGAAGGCGAACGTCGACACTCCGAATTTTAACAACTCCCCTGACTTTTCGCGGTTTTATTCAGCCTCTGAATCAGGCTACGACCATTTCCTCACACTTTTGAGATCTCCCACTTGTGTGAGCAGAGAGACCTTCAGGTTAATAGAGTGACGTGGCCTTCCACCACGTAATTGGCGTGTGATTTTTGTGCTGTTTGTTTGTTACAGCGCATTCGTATAGGCATTTATTCGATATTATTTTTTCGCGTACGGGATTACATGTGTAGGCTAATGAAGGAAGACTTGCTGATGTTGAAAGCTGAAACAAAGTGGTGGAAAGGAATTTGTAATAATGTGGGTGCGGAATTAAACTGGAATAAGTTTCCATTTTTTGCCCGTGTTTTTATTAAACCGCGCTATAATAATAATAATAATAATAATTATTACGACTTATTATTAGCGTCATTATGGATGACGGTGCCAAGTACGATGAGATGGTTCGGGCTTGCACCGCTCATGGACGTGATAAAGGCACGCAAGGTATTGGTTGTAAAGCGTGAAGAGTAAGAAGGAGACCATTTGGAAGACTGAGGCGTATTTGGGAGGATAATATTAAAGCGGATCTCAGAGAACTAGGTTGCATACATTTTCTCCTTTTGAAGGTGAACTGAATGGTCGACAGTAGAATGTATGTTGACATTTTACAATGCGTGTTTCACCAGCTGCTGTATTCCTTCACAGCGGCGATTCTGGAGAATGCTGTCTTTTGTTTCTGTTCCTTGTTTTGCGGTGTTCTTCTTCTTCTTCTTCTTGATCGACTTGGCTTCTGAAAAGAGAACTTCAGATTTCCTATTAATCTCCCGTTGTTTTCCTCGTTTGCTGTACGTTCTTTTAATAAATAAGGATAAGTCGAGGTATTGCAGCCTCAAGTTGATGCAGCATTGCTTAATACCCTGCGAGCTCTTGGCCCGTATGATCGGCAGATTATGTTTGCTTACCAGCAGGTACAGAGTGATGCAATTTGCAGTGCTGTAATAGACTTAAAACATTAAATGTTTTATACCTGATGTCGCGTTTTAAGAATATTAAAATCTTCGGATTGTGGTTACTGACTGCTGTTGCAGAACGGCCGTACCGTCACCGTCCAGTCGGTTTTCGTGGTTTTATTCAGTCGCCGCAGACCATTTATAGCCGTGTTCGTCAAACGAATGGGCGCCGAGTCGCTTTTCCCAGGATTTGCCGGATGACCAAATTGCCCTCGTCGGCCAGCGCGGAAATGAGGAGAAGTGAGCGACGACCGTGACACGTGACAGGACGGCCCTTTCACTGCTGTGCTTTGGCGATAAACAAATAAAAAGTTAATTGAATCGAGTCCAAGGATGGCCTTCCCGTTCTCCTTCGCTCCACGAAGAGGGAGACAACGGCGAAGTTCGATCTTGGTCTCTGGCACGAACATACCGTTAGTCGAAGGCAGTTCTTTGAAATCGAGGTACACCGGCGGAATTTGTCACAGTTTGTCAGTAACAAACGAGGTTGGTGCCGGAAAATAGCGTTGTATCGTATAATTTTACGTAGCTTAAGTCAGTGCCATTTAAATAAATTTTCCTTCCGTCTCTTCCGGATCGCGTGACGAGATACAAGGCGAAGTTGCCGTGGAAATTATTATTAAATGGTGCCAAACACGTATTTGTATACCTCATTTGTTTCGCTGTCTACTGGCGTCCCAAAGAAATAAGATTTAAAAAACAACATAATTTCTTCTCCAGCACATACAAGGTTATAAACGTCTTTTTTATACAGGTTATGTCGTATACCTTGGGCAGGCAACCTTTCGGAACAGAAGTTCCATGTGTTGAACCAGAACACGTGTTTTGCAGTGTCTCACGCCCGACGTTTCAGTGTTTAACAGTTTCAAATACTGACATTGATGAAATCAGTAACGTATTTACGTCTTTCTTCCACTGACCTACAAGGAAGAAGCTCTCGCAGAAGGTCACATGAAAAAACGAAGTACCGAATGTCGCTGTCGAGCGTT